TCACCACCTCCGCCCCCCCAACAGCAAAAGGGGACGGGGAATGGGTGTTGGGGTCAGTTCATCACACCTTGTTTCTGCTGCTCCTTCCTCCTCAGTGGGAGGACTCCTCACTCTTCCCCTGCTCCAGCATGGAGTCCCTCCCATGGGCTGCAGTCCTTCACAAACTTCTCTACCGTGGTCCTTTCCATGGGCTGCAGATCTTCAGGCACAGGCTGCTCCAGCGCGGGCTTTCCCACGGAGTCCCAGCCATCTTTAGGGGCATCCAACTGCTCTGGTGTGGGATCCTCCATGGGCTCCAACTGGGCATCTGCTCCCCCACTCACCTCCCTGGGCTGCAGGGGAACTGCCTGCTGTCTTACCACGGGCTGCAGGAGCATCACATCCTCTGGCGCACCTCCTCCCACTTCTTCTTCACTGACCTCAGTGTCTGCATAGGTGTTTCTCCCACATTCCACTCTCCCCTCTTGTCCCAATCCAATGTCAGGGAAGGTTTCGATATGATTCCAAGAGCAAGATTAAGCCACAAACGAGGCCAAATGCCGTATACCCAAACCAGCTGTTATTATCAAAATTATCAAAAGTAGAAAATAGTAGCGATAGGATATAGTGAAAGAAAAAGGCAGAAATGAAGCAAGCATTTGGGATAGGGTTGCAATAATAGTCACCACCATGGACCCAGCGGCATCCTGTTGGTCCCCAGTCTTCAATTCTTCAGTGATGGTTGCACACCATGACTTGTCTCCACGTCTTTTTTATAGGGTATAGTCAGACACATGCACGTATGAACTGTTCACGCACTGTTCGTGCGCTGCAGGTTTCGTCTATCACACGACCTTCAACCTTCGTGAGATCAACACCAGAAACCAGTACTACAGATATTACTCAAAGACTACAGTTTCCATGACAATGGTAGTCTCCACATTCCTGCATGCTTCGCTGGCTCCAGCCCATCTCCTCCCCTGGATGCCTCAGTGGCCTGGTGATCGTCCTTATGGACAGAGGAGTGTCCTGCTTCAACAGGCCATCCCAGAGACAAATGGCTTGAAATAAATAGCTCACAGTTCAGTCTCTCACAGCAAACAATCTTTGAGACAAATGGTTCAAGATGACAGTTCAGTCTCTCACACCTCTCCACTGCAGGTTCCCCTCCTTAAATGTGTTATGCCAGAGGTTCTACCACCGTCACTGATTGGGTCACCTTGGCCAGCAGCAGGTCCAGCTTGGAGCCGGGGCAGCTTCTAGCAGCTTCTCACAGGAGCCACCCCTGCAGTCCCTTCCCTGCTACCAAAACCCACCACACAAACCCAAAACAAGTGAAACGATGGAAATGGGAAACCCACTGGCCAAAGCTCAAGTGCTTTGCGTGACCGTAGAGGTCACAACCAGAAGACTGTTCTCCAGGGACGACTTGGTGATCCACGTAACAGGTTGACCTGAGACAGCGCAGGCTTGTGTTGGGTTGCACACAGCTCAAGAGTTTCTGCAGTGCGCTGCGCTCCACACTTCCCTGCTGCAGGATAAACTGAGCTGGCAAATCATAGTGGAAGAGCCTGGAGTTGCCACCCATGTGGTGTCTGCCCTGGTGCATGTTCTTGTCTTTACTACAGCTCCAGGGGCTGGGTAACTTGCACTGGTTCATTAGCTAGCTAGGCAAACTGTTGTTACTGTCTCACAGACCTATGCCATCTCTAGTGCCGGATGACCCTATGGCTGCCCTGTTCACATGGAAAAGTTCAAAAAGGAAACATATAATCTTTCCTGGGATTGCAGTGTAGGTGCCCATTATTCCTCATGTACTCCAAAAAGATAAGAATTACAGCTAGCAATTAACTCACAGTATGCAAAACAGCACGAGGTGAGAGGTGTCTGGAGTGCTACAATTGGGAGGGGCAGCCATGGACTCCCTGGACAGTCAAGCTCTGAGAGTCTGCTCACAACTGGTCAGTCCGCTGGTGGCAAAGCAAGCCCACACACTGACATCTGCAGCAGTCAGAGTGCAAACAGCTCCCTCAGCAGCATTAGGCAGCATGTGTACCAGAGAATGCTGGGCTGGCAGGGGCGCATGCCAGAGCATGGGGCCTAAGTAACAGTGCACAGCCTCCTTATGTCAAAGAATGCAACTGGCTGCTATGAAACTAGAACGGCCATGTTGTGAAAGTCATCAGTGCTCAGTCTCTCCAGGATTTGGAAAATGCTGGCCGCACCTGTAGGCCAAGCCTTTCTAAGCCAAGTCTTTCCGCCAACACAACTCCAATACAGGGAGTCCAAGGGACGGTTAAGCCTCTGTGGACACACAGTATGGGTGAGCATTGTCCTGCAGGTGACATTGCCGTGAAGCCTTTGCATGCACACATTAATTATTCCATGGGTAGGCCCCTCTACCTCTACTCATACCATCACACTAGACATTCAAAGATGTCAGGAGTGGGCTGCGGCTATATGGGTGTCTTTGCGTAAGCTGCCACAGAAGACACAAGCATATCCTGAGCCTGTGTTGTCCTAGCTGTATCAGCAGACTCTGCGGTAACTTGAACAACATGACATCTCAAAACTCAATTCAAGTTTTTCATCTTCCAATTGTAGTTCTTCAAGGCTTGTTGAGCTGCTTCTTAAAGAAATCCCTTTCTCTGCTGCTTTCTGCCTGTGGGAGAGACTGAGAAGAATGGAAGAAGGTTAACAGCACATTCAGATGGCTTTTGTGCGTGCTTGGGAGAGACTCTGTGGCTCCTGCTGCTACTGCAGCACTGCTGTGCCCCTTTCTGGGCAAGCCAGCCCAAACTATTCCTCAGAAGCCTTCTTGCAGCCAACCACAAAATACCTGGCTGGATTTAAAGCCCCTCCTTCCTTTTCTGCCCTGGCCCTGCCTGAGATTCAAGCAAGGATGAAGCAATGTGCTGGAGTCCCGTGAAAGGGTACTGCAACACTATATGCTGCAAGTCTCTGCCAGGAGTCTGCCGGATCCGGTCCCAAGCGTAGTTGCTGTCGGTGATGGGTACACCAGAGATGTGGCATGTAAGTGTGAGAGACTCTGAGACTTTCCCTACCGTGCGGCCCATAGCCTCTGTCTGCACCTGAGAAAGGGCACCTGCAACCCCAGGAGACATGGGTGAACAGGCAGGAACGGCTCAAGCACTTGCTTCATTTACTCTGCCACTTCCCTGGGCTACTGCTTGTGATCTCCAGCAGCTGCACACCCACATGCTCACAAGCTCTTGCTCCTGCTACAGGCTCAGATCAGGGAGAGAAGCACAGAATTCCCCTTTCTCCAGTGAGCTCCCAAGTGACCATCCCTACTTTCCCCGTCAGCTCTGCTCACTCCTAAGGGAGCAAAACTCCTGGACTGAGGTGACCTGAGCCCTGCCCAAAACCAGTGCAGGGCTATTCACACATCTCACCAGCTGGGCCATCACTGGGTAGCTGTCCTATTGGGAACTGCAGGAAACAGCAAAACTTGTTTCCAAAGGTGAAGAGGTGTCACAGTGTGAGAGGAGGGAGGATTGGTGTGAGACATGGGAAGAAGGCAAGCAGAAGGGCTAGAGCAGAAGGGGACAAAATCAATGAGAACATCCCTGTCAGAATCAAACATTTGTAAACTGTATGCTGTAACGACACAACTCTCTCGGAGCAGCACTGAACACCTGTGAGAACAGTCTCCTTCCCAGCTCTGAGGCCCGTAGCTAGGACCCTGGCAGGAGGTTTGTGTTAAAGCTCAGCTGGTTTTCCTGTCCCCGTGCAACAGCGCAGAAGTAGCGGGCAGAGTCCCGGGGCTGCAGGTCCCGCAGGGACAGAAATGACATGGACCGGGAACTGTTCCGGGATACCGCGGCTCGACCCTGCACTGACTGCCCCAATTCAATCACTGAGGTATCAGCGCTAATGTAGGACACCCACTCGAGACTGCCGCCGGCCGCCTGACGGTACCACCAAACTGCGTAAAGCCCGAAGCTGAAGCCGGATCCCCGGCAGGAGAGGCGCACGGTCTCCCCGGGCGCTCGCAGCCCTCCGCCGTCCTCCACCAGCCTCAGCTGCGCCCACAGCCCTGCGGACGGAGAGCGCAGGCAGCCGGGCAGGGCGCGCCCACGGCCCGAGGACGTTCACCCGCCGCCCCGGGGCTGAGCCGCGCCTGCTCCCGACACCCGCGCCCCGACCCGCTGCCCGAAAGCCTCCCGAAAGCCTCCCGAAAGCCCTCTCCCCCGCACTCTCCCCCGCCCGCTCCCCGCCTCCCCGCTAAGGAAGGCCAGCGCGCCCGGCGCCGGAG